TCGATATTTTGCTCATGTGATTAAAAACAACAGTTAATATATTTAATTTCTGTTGCACTATTAGTATTAATTAACTAGTCAAATAGTTAGTGGATGCAATGTATATATCGACTCTTAAAACAATAAATTTTCAGAAAGCAAATGATTCGATTTGTTTAATTGAAACGTTTTGCCGTTTTTGTATTATATTGATACGTGATGCCTGATTTTATCGCATTCCCGAATTTGAATTCTAGAATTTAAAATTATGAAATATAAATTTTAAAAAAAAGCTGTGCTTTTTTAATACATATATTAATTTTTTTTATTCTTGTGTATTTTATTTTAAAAAATATTACATTTATATGTTGCAGATATATTTTATTTTTCATTTAAAGATAATATAATACATCAAATGTGAATAATATGTAATTAAGTCGAATGTAATTATAATAATCATCTGATAATTGCTGATGTATATGTATACATATATATATATATATATATATATGAGTTCATCAGTTTTATATGTCCCTTTTATTATTCGGATATTTCTTTCTCATTTTACTGTTTTTATACGATTGATATGCGTTGTTGTTTTAAATGCAAATATGTCATTGCAAATAACATTTGCATACGAGATACAATACACAGCAGTAGCTGATAATAGTAATGTAATCGAGAATGCATTTTGGATATTGTCGAGATTGTTCCATAAATCCTATTGTGGTGCACAGATATAATTATACGATATCTTTTCAACTTCATTAAAATAAAATATCTTTATACAAGATTGAAATGAGAAAAATATCAAAATATTGTCTAGACGATAGATAGAAATTCACATTACGAAAATTTAATGCATCGTGCACGAATGCACGCGCTGCAAGTGATATTCTTTATCTAACATGTGGGTGCTGAACAGTGAATGTTCGTTCGCCGAAAATGATTTCTAGCAAGCGAACAAGTTGTTCGTCAGTAAAAAAAAAAACGCGAATTGCGTAAGAGAAACAAAGACACGAAGGGTGCAAAGAGGAGACGAGAGAAGGATATGAATGATGAGTCCGATTTTTATAATGAAAGCCGTGCCATGTCGCGCGGAGAAAGGAAGAGTGCGTACATGGCCGCGTTTGTTTCTGGAGGACCCTTCAGACCACAGAATCATCCTGTTACGCCCCAGGGGATGAGGGAGAAAAATCCTAATAATCGCTGGTCGAAAAATATCGCCAGCAAACTCCCTCGACCGTTTAATTGCGCGCCGAGGCACAAAGCATATTGGTTTCCCGGTCGCATTTTCCTACTTTTCTTTCCATCAATCGTCCATCCATATCCCCGTCTGCTTTCTCTCCCTTTGTTGCGATTTTCATCGAAATTTATCATATACAAGGATATCTAATATTGTAGCTAAAAAAATAATCTCTCTTTCTCTCATCTTTTTATTACAGTAATATAAATTTAATCATTTTTAATAATATAATTAACAATTTTATTTCTATCTTTAAAATTCATATATTTTATTTATATTTATATGTTTAATTACTGACATAAAAGTTAGAAAAGTGAAATTATGTGAGATGTATATATTATTTCAATTCTGGCATGATTAATTATTCTTTTTTCTCGTCCAACTTTTTTTACATTTTTTCTTTTTCTAGCTTTTTTGTCATCTGCACAGACTGATTACAATTAATCATCATTTTTTCTCAATTTGTCTCAGATTGCAGATTACGATGATACTGATATTGTAATTATCTTTTTTAATAAGTATAATCACGTATTGGGGGAAATTCAATATTTAAAAATATGATTACATATCACGCGTATATATATATATATATATATATATATATATATATATCATCATTTTGCAAACGCATGTTGTATTATAATCAGAATTGTTAATAATGTAGCAATTAAAAACATTGTGATAAGTATTATACTTGAAAATCCTGTTTTTTTAGATTTTAGATAATAAATATATATTATAGAGATTTGTTTAATAATCTCCTTTAGAGCTTTTGCAAACATAAAATGATTGTTTATGATAATTATATAAATAATAATTATAAAACAAAAATAAATATATGTACACATATAATATTTTAAAATTATATAATTTTTTAACGTACAGCAACAGATTGCCACAAAAGTTAATTAATGAACAATGAGAAAATAGATTTTCATGTTTGATTGATTGTCCAAATTGTTTCGAATGATGGAAATAGATAATTTTTCGATTTATCAGCTGTTAATTTAAGTAGACGAGCAAAATGTACAAGAAAACTATATTGATTACAGAGTTGCGACACACTTTTTAAATAGAAACCACTAATGTGAATAATCGACAACATTTCTAAATATTCTTTAAACATTATTAAACACTAAATCACTTAAATCACTTTGTACTATAAAAAATAATTTTAGAAACTAATTTTAACTTGAGAGAAGTTGTGTACAAAATTTATTTACTACATGATGTTCACAAAATTAAGTACAGAGATTATTGAGGCAATTTGCGTTGTATACTTTAATAGAAATATATTATCAATAATAATTATATTATTGCTATTAATTATTTAAAATTATAAATATATCGAGTCTTTTAAAATGTATTTATAGTTTTATATTTATCATTTCTTATATGTATAATTAAATATTATTTCCTTTAAAACAAACACAATATTAATATCAGAAAATAAGAATATTTCATAAAAAATAACCAAGAACCAAATATATTTCTATACGTTTGACATGTTTGTTTCTAAATATGATGAAAATATGTTTCTCTCTTTAAAATAAAATAAAAATAACTGAATTTAATTAATCTTTTATTGCTACATGGAAATTTGATTTTTTTATTTAAATATAATAATTACATATTACAGTTTGCATGGAAATATCCATTTGTTCGCAAACGGTGCGTGATATAGTAATATCGTGCGTCGAATAATTCAGCATTAAACGTAAAATCAAATATTTGTCACGAAAATTTCATGTCCGGCGTTGCACGATCATCAGTAGCTGCAATACCAATGTGTCATTTGCGGTATACCGGCTATTTCTACTTGTCGTAATGTTTGCTGATATTGCTGCATTTATGTATGGCATTTATTATTTCTCGTAAGAAAGAAGATTAGAACGTTTTATATCATGCCATGTTATAAAGTAATTTTTAAGCAATACTCATTTTATTAACATTTATAGACACAGATGTACAAAAAGTATTGTTCATTCAAGAAACTACGCAATTGAATTCATTATCATATGCGATACTTAAAAGAGCTATTAGAATCGTTATATCAATAATTAAATTAATATTCATATATTGATCAATTATTAAAATAATTTCTCGTGTAGCAAAAGTTTTGTTTAAATCTCAGAATTATCTATTTGCTCTTTGATTCCTAATATCACAAAATTTTCGAAATTAGGATAACTTTTCACATTACATTAGATGATTAAAAGGGGAAAGGACATAAGAATCATTGAAAGAGGATATATCTATTTTCAAATATAATAATAGTTTGATATAAAAGCATTAAGCAGGGCTTAATTAAATACGTAATTAAGTAATTAAATACGTTCAATGCTGCAGTTTTGTCGAGAAACTTGATTAAAAGTCACCATTTTTTTAACATATATAAAGTATATATTTATCTTTTGTCTTTGTCTGCAGATTTCTCATTTACGCGCGTATTCTATTAATACGTTATTATAAAAAAAATATATAGTCGCAGAACCATTTAATTTTCTAAAGTATTAGACATTTTATGTAGGTGATTATATTTTGATATTTTAACATATAATATTGAAAATACTTTTATTCAAGAGCTATCAACGTTTAGTTATCAACTTGCAACGCTCATAGAAAAATAGAAATAACGTCAATAATTTTAGTTTAATAATTCAAGTTATCATATTTAATAGAGTTAAATTAACGTATTGCTTTTATTATTAATGTTTGAGGCTGGTGAAAACGATAGTCAAAATATTCCGAATTTGTTTCTAAGATTCTAATGCATTAGAAATTTATCTATGATCTTTTATGTAGCAAAAAATATTTATTAACAACGTATACTAGACTTTTAGTTACATTAGCTGTTGTTCGTACACATTTTGAATACGTACATGTCGTCAGCTATAAATCACGTTTCGTGCAGATGAAGAAAATATTTATGCGATCTATTAAAACATACGAACCATGCATCGAACGCTGCCATGACCATGGCTATCGCTATAGTGAGCAGAATAGCGGGCAAATAAATTCTCATATTGTCGAAAAACAAAGCGTCGGCTCTCGAATCGCAATCGATCGTGTTGCATGCATGCTTAAATAACAATGCAAACGTGTTATCGTGAAATTGGTTTATATAATAATTGCTTCGACTTCTTTTATATTATTATACTTTTTATTGGATTAAAATGTGTAGTATAATAGATCTTCATCGATTGAACTAGTTTTATTGCTTTATACCAACTATTGCATTAATTAATATTTATAATTAGTTTCTCTTTTTTATTTGCTCTATATATTAAAAATTAAACATTGTGTGAAAAAATTATCAGCTCTTTAAATATTATACTTTCCACCTTATCATTTTTATTTTTATTTTTCCGATTATATTAATAGTTCGGTGACAAAAGCAGGGCGAGATTGTATATTCATTAGATATTATATTTAAATTTTGAAAATTTTACTTGAATAATTTATTTATTAATATATATAATCACACACATATAAATAATATATAAATTAATATAATTTTAGTATAGTAATTGTTCAGAGTGTGATAATTTTCTTGCAACTTAATTAATTTATGATTAAATTTTTTCTATAAAATTTAAATCATCTAAGTAATTTATAAAATTGACAACAAGCATATAATATTATTAGATTAAATATACATTTAAATATATTACTTATTTATTTATTATATAATAGTTTACAACCATATTTCAATACTAAATTGTTTGAAATTATAAACTATAAATTATAATAAATATGTTTTCTAAAAATATATTTATTGTAGATGAATTTTTGGTGCATATATTTATCTAATAATATTAGTAAAATCTTAATATGTTTCTCCAATTCTAATTTCAAATTCTTCTCAAGAAAATGATATAACATTTAGCCAATCCATGAACGCCTGAAAATAATGAAGAAAACTTATTATTACTTAGAATTAAATAATGTTATGTCTATATGCATATACATATTTCTTTCTATCTCTTTCATTGAATCATTATTATTAATCTAGAATATAACTAGCTTTATTTTTATTATCGATATAATATTCAACAAGAATTTAACAAATTGCAGCAAATGAATTACCGTTCTTGATTAGTTTAAGCTTGCATACAATGTGTTAATATTAATAATCAAATTATAATTATATTGTTATTGAAGAAATGGGAAAATATAGTAAGGAATAGCAATTAATCTAATCATGACTTACTCGCGGCATACGCAAACACGATCATTATTGCATCTTCCTCCGGTTTTTCCCCTGAGAATACAATGAGCGGCGCAAGCGCTATGGTCAACACCTGCACCAGATAAAAGATCACAAGTGAATCTACGTGCGCGATGGTGTTCTTTGACAGGTGTTTCTTGTGTCACTTGCAATTTCAAAGATTCGTCTTCCTTCTGCAGCAGCAATTCCCGAGGCATCGTATTTTTATCTAGAATATATAACAGAAAAGTGGTGTTTTATATGAAAATTGCAATAAAATAGTTATTATTATTTAAAAAATTGAAATAATTACAAAATTACAAAATAGAAAGGTAAAACGTTACTTTAAAGTATTTGCATGTACGTAGTAACAATAGTACTTTTTTACTATATAAATATTAATTTAAATATAATTTATTACATATTTTTTTAATGTATAAGAAAGAAAGCATGTTTCGTACATATATTTTATTTATAACAAAATCACTATTCAAACATTCTTATTAAGTTGTACATTTTTGTCGAGAATAAATTTTGTTTTATAAGAGAAGTTATAATAAATATATTTAAATTTTCTGATCATACCTTCAGTAGGAACTGCGACAACGACCGCAGTTACGATCAAAAGGGCGAACACGTAAATCTTCATCTTGAGAAGTGATGAGCGTTTTGTCAAATCTTGTAGTAGTATACCGTCAATAACTTGAGCGTTTATATACTAATCAGAGTGATTATAATACTGTATAGATAGTGGGGACATTGACACAACGATAAACTTTAGTGATTTCCCCATTTCTCCGGGAGGTTTCATCGGAATTTCCCAATTCGGAGACACGAAGTAAATACAAATGTATATATATACATATATATACGTATATTTATATCTGCATAAAAGTGGTATATCTTATATGACATACAATCATCAAAATCAAATGTGTTAATGTAGCGATTTTATTTCCGTTCTAATATTAATATATAATTTATATTTATAACAGCATATTGCGTGTGTACAGCAAAAACGTTTTTATATGATTTTCTTTCCATTAATGCTATTATTTCACAAAAGTTGTTGTAAACAAATTAATATTAACGAAATTTTTTTATTTTTGTCTGCAATGAAAAATTATATAAATATATATTCTACTTGAATATTATACATATAACTCTCATGAATGTTTTAATTGATATTCAAAACAGAAAACTATTTCAACATCAAATATATTTATCAATGTTAATTAATATATACATTTTTAATTTTTATAATACTTTTAAAAGAATTTTCGTTTGAGAAAAAAGATTCATTCATGTAGAGCACATTTGTTCGTACATATATAAGGTGTATTTTTCTTATAACATTCACCTAAAAATATAAAATTAGATGAATTGACTGTGCATGAACAATAAATTGCTAATTTATTCTATTATATTGAAATGATATTTAAACAATTTTTACGCTTTAATTCTTAAGAATTCTTTTTTTTTAATAAAAAGTATATAATACATATAAAAAGTATATACAACAACATATTGTATATAGAGCCAATTTAATTTATATAATATATTTATGCAATAATATTTTAAAGAGTAGCAAATTATTTGATGCGACAAATTTTTAAGTTATGATGAGCATGAATAATAATTATAAGCATGTGTTTTTGTAAAATATATGCAATAAAAGGTAAAGGTCTATTCTAAGCACATATAGAATTGATTTAATTGAGATTTGTTAAAGAGTGTGCATTTAAATGATATTTATTATATATTTCTAATATACAATACATATATACATACATTTGTATTTATTTATTGTTTTTGCTTACATACATTATTTGTATTTAATAATAATGTTAAAAATAACAAAAATTATAATTCAAATAAAGAAAATTATACGCAACATATATCGATCAAAATTTTTTATTTATCTAAGAGAACAATTACAAAAATCAGGTTTGATCAAACCATTTAACCAATCCATTTTTTCCTGAAAACGATAAAAAATGAGAATAAGGCTTTATTATGGAATTAAAATACATATTTTAGGAGAATATATATAACTATGGTTCTTATTAGTCATTATGAATTCTACACGATACTAATTTTTTTTAATTGTCTATGTAATATTCAAAACAATTTGAGATATTCTGTTAGCAGTAATAATATTAATTAAAAAGTTTTCTTTAATTTATGAACTTTTCATTTAATTTCATTTAATCCACCAAATAGTCGAGAATATAAGACTGTAATTATATGTATATTCGAATCATAATTTACTTGCGACATAAGCAAACACCATCTTTAGTGCATTTTCCTCCTGTTCTTCCAGTGAGAATGCAACTAATAGCACAAGCAGTATCGTTGAAACCATCTGCAAAAATTTCGCATAGAAAGCCTTCAGGTTCAACATGATTTTCTTCGGTAGATGCCAGTTGCAATTCCAAAGATTCGCTTTTATTTTCCATTTCCAATAAATCTAAGAGGAGTATCCAATCATCTTTATACTATTAGTGTACATAATATATATAGGGAGAAAAACATATACATATATATAATAAAATAAAATAATGTACACATAAAAAATTATTATTTACAATTTTACAAGATTAAAATAATTATCTACTACAAATATTTAAAAGATTATTTTAAACAATTTTTAAGACTAGTAATATTAATATATTTAATAAAAGTCTCAAGAAAAAAATATATTTAATAAAAAGATAAATATATATATATATATATATATATATATATATTATACAAAAAGATATTTTAAAAATATTTTTAATATACGATGCGTACACATATTTTATTTAATTTATAAATTTTTGAACAGTTTTCTCTTCTTATGCACTATATTTATGTTCAAAATAAAATTTATGTGCAAAATTATATTAAGTTTGTGTAGCAGTGAATTATAATAATTATAATAATACATACCTTCCATAGGCAATGCAATTGCGACTGTAGTCATGATCAAAAGAACGAATACGAAGATTTTCATTTCGTCTGGCAATGTCTAGCAATTGTCAGATCTCGTAAATATAGTAACATTAAATAGAGTATTTCATTGCGCTTTATATGCTATTTAAGATAATTACAATAATCTTATCATGTTTAATGGAAGAAATTGCTAAATAATGATAAATGATGATTTCAAATATGAGCAATCGTTTCAATGAATTTTCACAGAGATAAGAGAGAAAATACATATTTACATTTTAAAAACATCTGATTATAGCTATAATCACCTGAAAAAACAAGATATGAGCAATTATTTCTATCAATCAATATACAATACGCAATTGTACATATTTATGTACAATTTATATTTAATATTTATATTTATATTTATAATGATCGAGACAATAATAAACGTTCTTTGCTTTTTCTGTACTAATAATATAACATGTAATTATATATATTTTAATCTTATAAAACTTTATCAATATAAATAAATAGCAGATATTATCATTTAATCACGAAACTTGTTCATTATAGTATATAATATAGATAATAGTATATAATATAGATAATAGTGCATTTATCCATCCTTATATATTATTATTAATACTGCTAATTAATATTCATAACTGAATTTTGATGACATTTAATCATATAATAATATAATATGATGCATATATAATAATCTATCTGAGAGCGATGTCACATATATAAATATCATATATATAAATATCACATATAAATATATTAAAGTTCAAGATATATAATGATTTGCGGTCACCAATTGTTAATTCAATAATAGTATTTCATTAAAGCAAACAAAAGGGATTAAAATAAATTTATTAATATTCGATTTTTCCGAGTTCTGCATGAATCAGTTTTTGTCTTCACGTTTATGAATAATTTTTATATGCGTTGTCAAATTTAAATAAAGAAAATTATAGGAAATTTTTATTAAAAAATATATTGCTCGTACATATTACATATTGTATAGTAAATATAGCAAATACATAGAAACAGCTGTGTATAAGTGACGTCTAGATAAAAATGGTACAACATGCACCATCTGCAGCACATAGCGCGCGTAATTATCTTCTTGTCTCAGATGATAAGTTGCGTCATTAAATAAGTGATGACATAACGCTAATAAAAGAAGCTAAGCACATATAGTATAGGAGTTAAAAAGGTATTAAAATTAATCTAATTTTAATTAGAGAAATGAAATCTTAATTTTTTTTATAAAAGAAAAGAAAATATAATTATATTCATCGTACGTATTAATCGAACATAAAAAAAACTCTATGCTCAAAATATACATATAATTACAAGGAAAAAAATAATTATAAATAATCATAAATTATTTTATTATTCCTCATTCGATTTTTTTGATTATTATATGTTATATGATTTTTATTTATAGCTCGCTCCGCAAAGATTTGATTCCCACCTGAAGTCAGTTGCGATCGGTCATTTAAATTGACTCAATCATTCATCACAATTGATACGTGGGCGCTGCGGCATACATGCAGCACATATACACAGATTAATAGACAGATCGCCAAAGGCCTGCCTAAAGAAGAGACCGCCATCTTCGTGCGATAGACTTTGCCCCTTACCGACACACTTTGCCCCTGGTTCGAGTCCGTGCTAAATTTCGTAGACTTGAACCAAAAGACTTTGCCCCTGGTTCGAGTCCGTGCTAAATTTCGTAGACTCGACCAAAAGACTTTGCCCCTGGTGCAAGTCCAGGCTAAATTCGTTTGACATTACCAACAGACTTTGCCCCTGGTGCGAATCCAGGCTAATTGATCATGAGACCAATTTGAGAGATTTGGCCCCCGTTGTGTGTGTGTGTGTGTGTGTGTGTGTGTGAGAGAGAGAGAGAGAGAGAGAGAGAGAGAGAGAGAGAGAGAGAGAGAATATTTTACATATATGCATATATATATATAAAATTTATTAAATATAAAAAATATATTTTTTACACATAAAATGTTTTTTTATTGAAATAATCACGATTTTAAATGTGATATAACACAGTGTTCAAAAATTTTTTAATCAAATTTTTTAATTAAATTTTATTAAAGAAAATTACTTGAAATTTTTTACATTAAGAATTTAAAGGCTCCTTATTCTCTTGTAGAAATTTATCACTACGCCAATTAATCACTTATTTTGAGTATTTAAAATACTATAATATACAGTAATTTAAGTATTCGAAATAAAAGTGATTAATTACTCGAAATAAGTGATAAATTGGCGTTACTAGTAATAAATTTCTATAAGGGTTGAAATAAAGTATAAGAGATAAATAGGCTATATGTGAGCCGTATGCGAAATGTGAGATGTAAGACGCATATTGAAATTTAATTTTTCGATATAACTTTCAAAAATGTACACGAGGTACAAAAAATTAGCTTGGACATTTGTAAGACTTAAAATTGGGATTAATTCTCAATTCTATTAATTAAATTTCGATATAACACACCTTACATCCGCGCACGGCTCACATATATATAGCCCATTTATTAGTGCAATTTTTAAGTTCCTTATTTTTCAAAGTTCACCTTTTTACGTTATCAAATATTTTTACGTTTTCAAGAATTTTATATTTTTACTTACCGCAGTTTCTTATCCAAATGTAAAATCTTTTATCGCAGTCTATAAAAATTGAAACAATTTACAATTTTATGATATAATATTATTATTATTACAATTTTTATATATATGCACATCTGTCAAATATCGTGATTTATTTCACATTATTATTATCTATTTTAATAAAAAAAAACAAAAACACTTGCAACAATCAAAAATAAACCGCCTGCCGCGAACGGAAAATGCCAAGAAAGCACGCAATTTCCGCGAATCTCGTAATTTTTTTGAAAAATCAACAATTTCAACGAAATTGTAAATTCTTCAAATCACTGCACAAGTATAATTCACAATAATAATTTTCAGTAACTACGATAAAAAATCGTATACTGAAAACCGCAAACGAAAGTGCAATGGGAGTAAGAGTAAAGTCTGTGATAAAATTAATTGGCAATAGAAAATTAATAATTTTCAAATAGAAAAATTTTGAAATTACCGAGGATTTACAAATAATAAAGTAAAAATATTAAATAATTTATGTGACTTTGTATAGTGAACACATCAACTTGGCGGAATCTTGACTACTCATCAATTTAAGTAAGCAATTCTAAACACAATTAAGATCTTTCACATAAAAAAAAATAACTTATTAATATAAATTAATATACCAAAAGAATAAAAATATACTTAGACAATCACGGTGAAATATACTGCAATGACAAACTTACTCGGAAATATCCTTGATGATGGGGACTAACTTTTTGATGCTGGATAACATCTAATTGTTTTCAATTCTCATATCAAGCGGTTCTGACGATAATTTTAACTAATAATGTTCAAAAGAATTGATGACGTGGAATGGGCCGTCAACCTGTTCTACTAACAACAGGGAACTCGTTTACATGTTTTTTGACATAATCAAAAAGTTTACCATCTTAACTAAAAATGGTTAGCCGATTAGAAAAAATATCTAATTTAATAAATGTTATAAGCGTAACCCAATTTAAATTTATCGACTTATTAAACCAAAATGTTCATTAAAAAATAGACTCTAATGCGTAATATGTCATAATTTTTCTTAAGAGAATTTTTATTGTTTTTATATTTACTGAAGAAGGCTGAGGTAACAGCCGAAACGTTTTATTATTTTTATTATCATTGTATCTACTAAGAAATAAATCAATTATGTGTTGACATTACATCTCTCACTAATTTAATATGCTCGTTATAGTTGGCCCTGTCTTTCTAAATCTTATTTTATAATATCACACGAGCCTTGTCTTTAAATATCTAATTGTTTTCCTTATTAAATTTAAATAATTTATGTTTTCGAATTTTGCTCGCGGAGAGGATCTTTAAAACAAGATTTTTAGAAGAGAGGACCTTTAAAATATAAACAGGCAAAAACGTTGGAAAAATTAAAGCGCGCGTTTAAACAGATAAACGCAATGAAATAAATACGCAATTGTTTTTACTTATCGCTGTAAGCTCACAAGCTTCTGACGTGCTATACACTTTTATATAATATATACAAGGTGTCCGGTAACTAACGGACCAATGATTAAGGGCGGATTCTCTGGCTAATTTGGAGACGATTTTTCCTTAGCAAAAATGTTGAGAAGTCAATAATTTTCGAGTTATAAGCGATTGAAAAAAATAGGTTTTTGAAAACTAAACGTTTTGGAGTTAAAAGTCTAACATAATTACATTCTTCAGTTAATTTCAGGTAGAGTTTACTATAATAAAATTTTAATTTAAGGCTTAGTTATAAAGATACATAATGACAAAGATTGGAAAGTTGTAAAAAATGATGACCTTTTTCGACATTTTTGCTGAGGAAAAATCGTTCCCAAATTGACCAAAGAATCCATTTGTAATCATTGGTCTGTTAGTTACCGGACACCCTGTATATTGGACACGAGTTTCGTTTGTTTCAGATTCTCGAGAGTTGAAGTAGGAACATACGAGTATCATATATCGTTTGTGACTTGCCGAATGAAAGCAAGACAGAGAGCGAACGAGATGATGAGCTTAATAGCTCATAATGTTATAAATAAATAAATAAAAAATTATAACCTGACCTACTAATTATTGAATCTTTTTTTAATAAAATGTTTCATTATTATTATCATCTAAGTCTAAGTCGTTTAATTACTTTTTAGTTTTTTAATAATTAATTTAATTTATTCTAGTCATTTTTATATGAGAAAAATAATATCACGTATACGTTTTATAATGAATTAATATATTTCGGGAACCGAATTATATATTCTTAATAATATAAAAGTGTTCAAAAATTATATTTAACTTTTAATTTTAATTATTTTATAGCAAAGAGTTTCGAAATCTCTTACACACATAATGGGGATTTTTTTCATCCATATAATTCGCAATTAAGTATATATGTTAATTATTAATTTTAATAAAATAAAAATTAAAATTAAAGGTCAAATATAATTTTTAAACACAAATATATTAAATTAATTATAAAACGTATACCTATGATAGT